GAAATGGACAGATGAGAACCTGATGGTGTTCAACACCGAAAAATGCAAGGTTCTCCACCTTGGGAGGAAAAACCTGAACCACGCTTATAGGCTTGGTAGTGCTATGCTGGTTAGCATTACAAATGAAAGGGACTTGGGGGTCATGGTTGACCAGAAGATGAACATGAGCCTTGAGTGTGATACTGCGGCTAGTAAAGCAAGCAAAACACTGGCTTGCATCTATAGATGCTTCTCAAGAAGATCCTAGGACGTCATTCTCCTGCTGTACTCGGCCTTGGTGAGGCCTCAGCTGGAGTAGTGCATCCAGTTTTGGGCTCTGCAATTCAAAAAGGATGTGGAGAAGCTTGAGAGGGTGCAGAGGAGAGCCACGCGCATGATCAGGTCAGGAAAACAGACCTTATGATGAGAGGCTGAGAGCAATGGGGCTATTCAGCCTGGAAAAGCGCAGGCCCAGGGGTGATCTGATGGCCACCTGTAAGTTTATCGGGGTGCTCATCAGGATTTGGGGGAATGACTGTTCACCAGAGTCCCCCAAGTGATGACAAGATTGAACAGTCACAAACTCCACTGTGACCAGTTCAGGCTGGACATAAGAAAGAACTTCTTCACTGTCCAGGCCCCGAAGGTTTGGAACAGACTGCCACCTGAGGCAGTTCAATCACCCACTTTGAATACCTTCAAAAGACATTTGGATGCTTATCTTGCTGGGATCTTATGATCCCTACTGACTTCCTGCCCCCGGGGCAGGGGGCTAGACTTGATGATCCTCCTGGGTCCCTTCCAGCCCAAATGTCTATGAAATCTCTAATTTTTAAACATTAATACAACTTCTGTAGAATATTACTTACTGTAATACCTGGCACAATTTAGATAAGGCACATTCAATTTTAGGGTGACACTGGCAGTGATATCTGTACTTAAAACTGCCTTATATTTTTCAGTCTAGAGTCTAGGATCTTTCTGTTTGTTTTTGAAAAATTTGCCAAAAACTTGAATATTTCAGGCCACTATTTTTCATGCTATGTGTCCCACTCAGGGGGATTTTTTTTAAAACATACTACGGCAAAACAGTTCAGAGCAAAGATTAAAGAAAAGTGAAATGTTGCTTTACCCATATTAAATTCTTACAAATATTGTTTCACTGACAAGCATTAAAAACCTCTAAGCTTTGGAGACAGAGCTTGAAATATGGAAGTTTACTTTGTTACCAGATGCAACTTTTCTTGCCTTAAAATTAATGAAAGGACTGCATAACATGAATAATGAAGGACAAGGAATTTCATCTAACAGCTCCTATGCTGATTCCATAAACTTCAGTTGAGCCACAGCACTTTTTAGAAAGACCTTTAATACTGATTTAAAGATTTTCTTGTTATACAGAGTCCAGAGTATTCCTACATATTTTTTTCCACTGGTTAATCATCCTCACTATAAAAAGCACTTGCACTTTGTTTTCAAATCTGAACTGGTCTGGCTTCTGTTTTCAGCCAGTCTATTGTGCTACGCTTTGTCTGCAATTTTGAAAAGGCCTCTATTACAAAAGATTTTCTTCCCCATACAGATCCTATAAATTATGATCATGCACCCCCTCTGACCTTCTTTCCTGTTAAATTAAATAAATTAAGGTTTTTAATTTCTCACTGTAAAAGCAGTTTTCAGGTTTCAAATCCTTCTTGCAGCTCCTTCCCAAGTACCTTCCAAATTGTGAAGATCATTTGTAGGAAGTCTGATGCCAGAACTGGAGAACTGGACACTGTATTCCAAAGAAGGCATTTAGACAGCATGGGCAAGGAAACAGCGGCTTGACTCAAAGGTAAAAGCAGAAGCACAGAAACAGTGCTGAATACAAGCAGAAGGGAGTGAAGTCAAGGGGAGTGGAGCCAAGGAATGTTTTGGAGGCATGAGATGGAGGGATGGGGATAAAGGGGGATAATGGGCAGCAGTGACGGAGACAGGAAAGAAAGGTTTATAACCCCTATAACGCATGAAACTCTAGAATTTGGAACTGAACCTCAAATTCCCAAGTTTTAAAATTTCTGACTGGCATATAGCTGTAAAACCCAAGGGTAAAGTAAGTCTCTCAATTTCTAGACCCAAATAGAAGATAACAGCCTACTGGTGCAACTAGAAAGGGGTACACATGGGAAAAAAAATGATGACCCAATTGGTCCAAGTACAGTATCCCAAGAGACAGTAGATGGAAATGCATCAGGAAGTTCCTGGTGTGGCATAACAGCAACAAGACTAGGCCCCAAACTCCTGCAAGTTCAGCAGCAAGACTGTTACTTCTATATCGTAAATAGTTCTTTATACAAGTTCCTGTAAATAGGACATTGTTTCCAAACCAAAAGCCTCATCAAGACACCAGAGATTGCATTCAGCAGCTCACTTGCCCTGTGCCAGTTCAACTGCTGCTTCAAGCACAAGCTACACTGCTCAAACAATAACTACTGCAAACTCCTTAGCAGCTCTAAGAGGGTTAAACACTGGATTGCATCACTTCCTGAGCCAGAGAGAAATGGCAGCAATTACAGCAATTAATCTTCATGCTTCTCTTTCAGTAAAGAAAAATCAGCTTACAACATGCATCCCCAATTTTGGAGAGCTGATTTTTTGGGGGAAAGGTATATGTGGTATGCAAGTAAATGTGTTATTCAGATAGCGCAGGTGACAAAAACCTTTCCCTAAAGTCACAATTCTGTTGATGACGCATGCGAAGATCAAGAGTGCCACATAAAATTTTAGGAGCATACAGGCAAGGATTCAGCTCGCTTTTTTAAACCTAGAAAGTTACAGGGGGGAGAAAAGGATGCACAGGTTGCAAGGTAAATGCTCATACTCAGAAAATATGAGACTCAAAGTTACATATGCAGCCTTAACCTAGCCCCCTTGTACATTATGATACAGTCTTTAATTGCATGTTAATGTAATTTTTTTCCACATAAGCCCTACCTCATTCAGTGCACAGACTGGACCTGTCCTGGAGGTGAATCAAGAAGGTGCAGTGAAATTGTCAGTATGATCAATGCATCTCTCACTTAATGCAGAAGTTGGAAGGTATGTAACAAATAAGGCAGGTGACTGCAGGGAAAAAAAGGATTGTCTTATGATTAAGGCACTTGAAGAAGACCTTTCCTAACCGGAGTCCATCCCCGCATCTGCTATGTACCTATGTGATGGTAGCCAAGTCATTTTTCACAGATGGCCACTTACTGTACCTTCTTTATTTCCTGATTGCCTAATACTTGGGGTCACATTTGCCAAGTGCTAACCCTCACTTACAAATCTAAAATCAGTTTAAAATGTACTTTCAACATACAAAGTTACATGGAAGTTTAATACTCTGGGAAAAAAACCCAATGTCTGTGTATCAAAAATTGGGCATACAACATTCCAGAATGTGTTTGATAAATAAAACCCTCAATATATCAGTATCTCTGAACCCTGGCTGTAAAAGGGGAATTAAAGTCCCACCTGCTTTTATGGGCATGATAAGATTGCTTCACACATGAAGTATTCAGATTCTTAGGTGACAGGTGCCACAGAAAATGCCCATGCAGAAGCTATTAATGCCCTACTTCACCATAGTATTAAAATAGCATGGAGTAACTAAGAAATGACAACCCACACTGAATGATGAGCATGGATTTTAAAAAAAAAAAGTAATACCTACCCATTCAGTGATCATTGCCCAACCTGTACACTGAATGAAGCAGAAGGAACATGGAAAAACAGTTCTTTATTGGGGAGAGTCAAGAAGTTACCACACACAAATTTACCTGGTATTTGCCTGACAGACTGCAAGTATTTAAATCAAAACAGAGCTGAGTGAATTCTCAGCAGCTGCTGGGGGAGCTGCAGTGGGAAACACTCACTCATGTTTGCTCACTCACATGCACATCCATAAAGACACATAAAAAGAGGAAATGAAGCCAATAGTCAGCTTCTCCCAACTCAGAAAGGGGTGCAACTAGATTGAGGAGAATTTACAAAAGTTTACAGAGAAAGATTACAGAATAGATATATCCCATGCATCCCTGACTATTTTAAACTGTTAGATACTACTCTATTTTCTCCCATATCACAAATTCTCAAAAAGATATACACCTTGTTTTGGGAAGGCACAATGAAGGGAAGGAAAGATTTTTCCAGAATTATGACTGAATCCTGACTGCATGGCTGAATCCTGACCATCGCTGCTCAGACAAAAAAAAAAGAGAGAGAGATAAAGCTAGGAAGCATCAGCTAGGAAAGGGTGAAAACTAACAGTGAGGCCAAATATGCACTATATCCCTTCCTCCCCACCTGGAAAAAGACAGCACTGAGACCCACTACTCTTCCGCTCTGGAATAGTATAAGGTTTCTGACTTCTGTCTGCAGCTACTCCTCCACCACCTGTTGGCTGCCACAACTTCTGGGAACAGGACAGGGTTAAACTGATAAGCAGCTCGACTCAAAGGCAAAAAACACCAGCACAGACAATAGACTAGATAATATGGTAAGACAATGTGGTTTTCTCACTCTCAAATGTGTAGGGAGGGATACAAGTAGCAAAGCCTGAAGAGCAAGTTTGAGAGGAACTCAAAAGGGGCCTAAAGTTTTATCCTGGAACCATGTAATTAAAGACTATCATAATATATACACGCAAAGGGACAGAATTCGAGTTGAACAGACAATCTGAAGTTTGAGCACTTCATTTTGCAACCTTAGCATTCTTAACACATATCATGTCATATCCAATAATTTTAATTGACTGCAGTATCAGACGGAACCATTACATTTAATTTTCAGGCTGATGAAAAGAGTTTGAAATTTCAACAGATAAAAATCAAGCAGCAGATCTGCAGAATTAGCCTCCAAAGTAATTCAAGTCTTCTTATATTGACAACAGACAATATTTAACTTCATAAACATTTTATAAATTATTCTTGACTAATCTTAGGGTGAGAATTATTCAAGGGTACAGCCAAAAGCACTTTAGCAAATGTACCCCACCACTCCCTACCACCATCTACATAGAAATGTAATTATTGGCTGTTTGCTTCTAAAGTAAATCTGGGTGGAAATTTCTCAGCTGAAACATTATGTGTAGTGCCCTGAGAAAATCATGGGTTTCTTGTTGAAAAGCCATAGCACGTGCGAGGGTAAAGTATCATTTTTCATGGATTATCCACTGAACTACCACCGATCTCGGCAAATGGGTCCTAGTATTCTGAATATTCACTGAATATTCTGTGAAAAAAAGATACTTTATCCATGCATGTGCAGCAGGCAGGCACACAGACAGCGGCAGCAGAAAGCCAGGGCTAACAGAGCTTATCCCCCCTCAAACGCAGAGCAGCGCAAAGGGCCACAGAGCAGCCTGGGTACAGGCTCCAGGCAGCTGCAGCAGGTGTGTGTGTGGTGGGCGGGGCAGGGGGGAAGCCACACACAGACAGACACAGAGCCTGCATGCAGACAGGATTGCTACAGCAGGTAAGTTGGGTAAGGGGCATTTGGGAGGGGGTGCAGATTGAGGCCCCCACAGGTCTGAAGCGAGTGGGGCAGGGGCAGATGGAGCCCCAGGGTGGGTTGAGAGATACTCTGAGCCTGGGCAGGTCATCCAGGGACACGGGGGGGCTTCCCATTGCTGCACGCACCTCAGGATCTGTGCGTGGAGCAGAAGCAGGCTGTCCACTGAGGGCTGGGTTCTGTGCCCTGCTGCTCTTTACCTGAAAGCCAGCTCCAGGAGCCAGCAGCAGCAGGCACATGCGGTTACGCTGCTCCTGGGGCAGGGACAGCAGGGCACAGAGCCCAGTTTGCAGCTTGCAGCCCACCTCCCCCCGCACAGATCTGGGGGGAATGTTCCCCCCAGGCCTCTCCAGAGGTGCGTGCAGCAGCAGGAGCCCCCCCCGCCCCACACACTCCTGGACAAGCTGCCTGGGCTCAGAGCATGTCATGATCCAACCTGGGGCCCCACTCACCCCATTCCCTCCCCACTGTGGGGGCCTCAATCTGCCTCCCCACCCCCATGCCTCTTCCCAGATTTACCTCTTTCTGTCTCTTTCTCAGGGCTTAAACAGACATTACATTTGTCCCTCCACAGTAGCTGTTTTAACACAAGAAAAAGTAACCGGCCACATGTTTGTTATTACGCTAAAAAAATGACCTGTTTTCCACAGAAATGGCAGATCCACAATAAAGTTGCAGTTTATCTTTCCAAGATAAATTTAACATGTGGTCAAATCTGAGAAACCCCCACAATACCCTGCTTCCCCTCCTCTGCTTCAACCCACCCAGTGGGCAGCTGGTAGGCAGCCAGGCAGAAACTAGCTTCCAGGCAGCCTTGCCCTGGTTGCTTCCCAGCAGCAATGTAGACAGGGGAGCAGCAGGGGCAGGAGCTTGCAAGTGGGACCAGTCTCCAGTCTCAGGCTACCTGAAACACCTCTGAAGTTTGCGAAGGCAACTCTCCAGCCAGTGGGTGATAATAAGGAACAGCTCTAAGATCCCTCAAGTCTCCAAGAGAGCTAGTCAGTGAGGACAGACTCAGCAATAGGCTTGCCTGATTAGCTGCTGCCACCATGACAACAGCTAATGGAGGCCAGAGACAAATGCAACAGTGGGAAGTCTCTGCCCTTAGGCTGCCTGTGAGCCCGTTTGAAAGGGCTTGTAAGTAACTTGAGACTGGAACCCAATACTCAAATGCAACTCTGGCACTTGGCTGGAAATTGGACAATTTAAGGCTAATTAAAATTATTAATTAACATTTGGAGTTTCCTCAGAAAAGACCAGCAGCAGAGAAGGCAACCTCAGATACCAGCTACTCCAGGGTCAGAAAAAATGGAGGAAACTTCAGAAGGTGAGACATGTTAACACGCTACTAGTAAGCAGCTATGGCTGATTTTCCCCAGAAGCTTCAAGCAGGAGGAAGTACACATCTATGAAGCAAATTTATGGGACCAAGCACAAAGAAAGGGAATTATTCCCTGCAGTCTTCCCAAATCTGAACACTTCACAAACCCATATATTTGTGGTTTAAGAAAAAGATAAAAAGTATCTTCCTCCATTTTCTATTAACTGATTAACACTTGTATATAACAGTGGTACAGTAACTTGCATTTTCTACCTCTAAGACTAATCTAAAATAATTTCTCTTATACATTCACACCTCTCTTTTGGTTCCAGTCATGAGCATCACCAAGCTGACCAGCGTTATAGGTATATCCATCTTGCTGATTAAAATAGTCGTCAGTGCTGAATACAATGCCATCACGACTTTGACCAAGTAGAACACTGTCAAACAAAGGAAAAGAACAAAACCATTACAAATTATCCAAATCTTATTTTTTAGGAAGAAAACAATAAAATGATATTGGAAAATTCTAATGGCATACTATTTATTTGGAGTTTCTTAATACCTTCAGATCATACCTGAATTTCTTTTACATGCCAATTTTCAAAATTAAGCACTATTCTTTTCTCTCCACCACTTCCTTATATGTTTTGCTTTCCCTGCATAGAACAGAAAACATGCTTTCACCCTTACAGTCCACATCATGATAGGTTCTGACCTCACATTCTTTTAACATCTTTATACTCACAAAAATATGGGAAATATTACCCCCATTTTGTAACTGGGGTGCAGAAGAAACAGTCACAAAGGGCATTTCTGGTGTAGCTGGGAACAGAACTTGTTTCTTTTGAGTCTTTGGCAACACCTCAGGCATTGGGTTTGCTTTCATTCACCTTTATCTGTACTGATCTAGCACAAAGTTAATGCCCAGCAGTTTCTTTATTACTAGACCAAGGACAACAGTCACAAGCACCCACACAATCTTGCAGGGCATCTTACTGAGCAAGTTCAGGACTGGAATCTAACATTCACTCTTGCTAAAAACTATCCTTAACTCATACCTTAGTTTCTCATCTTATTTTAAACAAGTCTTGCATATGATTTTTTCACATTTTAAACTTCTCTCTGAGCCATAAAAGAAAGCTATTGACTCCTACTCACCAGCTTTTCCTAAACCTTTAATGAAAAACCCTGTTTTAATATTAGCATATGTTATCTTTTCCCTGTTAAGAAAAAGTAGTCATTCCTTTATGGAAGTAGGATTAAAATCATTACCATACTATCAATCCCTCATGTAAAAACATGCCTTAATAGTTTGATAGTAAGAGATTTTGTCTCGTAAGTATTCGATACACTATTATTTATACACAAGCAACAAAAAGAACAAAACCAACAAGGGTAAGACACTTTATTAAAATGTCTGTGAAGAAAACGTTATCAGTTAAAATGTTTGTAAAAAAGAAAAATATAAATTGATGTCTATTCTTTGACATACACTTGCCTTTTCACCTGTTCTCTTGCAGATCTAGCCCTCTAATCCAGGGGCGGGCAATTATTTCGGGCAGAGGGCTGCTTACCCAGTTTTGGCAGGCTGTGGAGAGCCAAATGGGTAGCCCCGCCCCTTGACAGGAGCCCTGTCCCCGGTCACCATCTTGGGACTAATGTCCCAGGGCCAGCACCGGTGGGGCCCAGAGCAGAGCGCAGGCTGGCAGAGATCTATGGAGCCGGGCTGGGTTGCATCAGCAGGGAGAGGGAGGAGCTGGCCCAGCTCCATAGAGCCCCTGCTGGCTGGGACCCTATACACCTGCTGCCCTGCTCTGGGCCCCACTGGCACTGGCCCCGGGGCACCGATGCGGGCCCCGTGCTCCCACTGGCTCCCTGCCCACTCACACCCAGTGCCCCTCAGCCCTGTGATACAGATGGGGGGTACCACACAGCCCCAACCCCCTGCTTGACAGCAGGGAAGAAGCTGGTGCTGAGCGTGGGGAAAAGCAGCCCCTTGCCACCCCATGGCCAGTGCTCCCTGCTGCAGCCACTCACAGCCCACGTGGGGCTGTCTGGAGCAGGCACAGGCAGGCCCATATAGGCTGCAAGCGGCTGCAGCACTCAGCACCGGCCACATGGCAAGCAAGGGACCACTTTTCCTTGCGCTCAGCACCACCTTGTAACCCGCCCCCGCTGCCAGCCTGGCAGTGGGGCCAGGCTACAAAGTGTTGCTGAGCATGGGGCAGGGGGAAACAGCCCCTTGCCCGCCCCATGCCCACCGCCCCGCATTGCAGCTGTTCGCAGCCAGCCTGGGGATGCTTGTGCCTGCTCCGGACAGCCCCACGTGGGCTGCGAGCGCCTGCAGCAGGGAGCACTGGCCATGGGGTGGGCGAGGAGCAGTTTTTCTTCGCACAGGGAAGGAGCCCAGGGAAAAGTTGAGCGCGGGGTGGGAAAAAGCAGCCCCTCCCCCACCCTAAGGCTGGCGCTCCCTGCTGCAGCCGCTTGCAGCCTGCAGGGCTATCCGGAGAAGGCACAGGCAGCCCCATGCAGGCTGCGAGCAGCTGCAGCATGGGGCGCCAGCCATGGGTTGGGGAAGGGGCTGCTTCCACCCACCCCCACGCTCCTTTCCTGCCTGGGGTCCCTCCCGCCCTTCTCCCCCACCACACTTACCTGCGGTTCCAGCGCAGGGCAGCCACGCGCTCCCAGGCCAGAAGCCCCAGCAGGGGTTTCCAGCTGGTGGGTTCGGGTTGGGTGGGTCCCAGTGTTGTTGGAGTCCACTGGGCTTCCCCTGGGTCCTACTGCCCTTGGTTCCTGTCATTTTTGACAGGAACCAAGGGCAGAGAAATATTAACTTTCTACATTTTTAGGGGCCCCAAGGGCTGAATAGAATGGTCTTTTGGGCCAGATCTGGCCCACAGGCCGCATTTTGCCCACCCCGCTCTAATCCATCACACTTCACTTTCTGCCACCCCCATAATTTGATATCCACTTGTAACATGGATTTATCCCTGATGTTTTTACTAATTTTCATTAAGACTTATTTTATCCTGTTATTTTTAACCAAAGTGCCTTATGTGTAGCAAATATATGGGGCTGGAAATTAATAAATTATTTTATTATAATTAATAAAATCCATACCACACCTGTTCCATCAGAATTACATTTATGTACAAAATAAAGGCTCCAAACCGTCAAAAATAACATTGTGCAGCCCCAGTAAACATCTGCCTGAATAGTTCTTTTTACAGTGTGTCGCTGGGGGAAGCACGCAGCTGGACAAAGAGCAGGGAGACAATGATGGCACACGGGGGGTGGGGACAGAGCACTGCCACCTCCCAGGAGCAGGGCCAGGGCAGGGAAGCTCACTGGGCTGGGGTGAGGGCAGCAGCACCCCTCTGCAGGGCGGGGAAGCTCACTGGGCTGGTATGTGGCCACTGCGTGCGAGCTTCCCTGCCCTGCGGATAGGCGCCACTGCACTCGCCCTGCCTTGGCCCTGCTCCTGGGAGGTGGAGGCACTCCATTCCTGCCCGCCCATGCATACCCCCTAGGACTTCTCCAAGTACCCCCAGGGGTACACGTACCCCCAGTTGACAACCCATGAGCTACTGGCTTCTTTTGGCTGGTGTATCTGATAATGTCACTAATGCGACATAAATGCTGCGTGCATGTGCGCAGCTGCACAAACGTGGCCAGGAATGCAGCTGGGCAGCATGGAGAGCAGCATCTTACTGGCAAGTCTGCAGGGAAGAAAGGGTGTTGAGGAGGGAAGAGATGTCGGGGGAGCAGATGGCGGCCCTCATGGTGAGGAAGGGAGTGGGGTAGGGGCTGCCCAGTCAGGGCAGTGAATGTGACACTGGGGCTGGGAGTGGGACAGAGCCATGGGCAGCACAAGGGGGTGGGGTG